AAAAAGTAAAAAAACTTCAGTTGCTCGACCATCAGAGCCACATTATCTGATTGTTTGAATACTGGATCAAGTGACCAAAGTTACTTATCTTCTTATCGAAAGATCTATGAGCTTGGACGCAAAGCAAACTTGGCAAGATCGATCGTGCTCATCTAAATGGCGCACACAAAAATGTAGATCGTGAAAAAAAAGAAAGCGAATCTTCCAATCTAAATCTACGAGCGAGTAAATACACTTTCGGCTCTCGGTAGCAGCTTTCCCTGGTAAATTTTCCTCACCGCTTTTTTCGTGATTTTTCCCAGCATCGATCTCGCCACACCATACCAAAGTCGAGATTATCGCTGCAAATTGTCGTATCCTTGATATTATTCCTCTGTGTTACTCTCTCTCTGTACCCGCACCTCGACTCTCCCTGGCAATATACCTGCAGCCATGCAAGTGGAAAAGAGAACAAGAGGCTGGTGCCTTTGTAAGCTGCCTCGAGCGCTCGTCTCGCGACTAACCCACTTTCGGGCCTATTCGTCTCTTCCGATCGATGCTGTGCTCCAAGAGTCGGATACCACCCGGGAAAACTCGATGGCCTTGCAACTTCGTTACGCGAAAAAGGAAAATTTCCAATCTCAAGTCTCTCTTGACTTGACAAACAACGTTGTCCCTGCAATTATATCCATATCGCGCTGCTTCGATCTTACGTGGCAGACATCCAGATAGGGAGAGAGAGAGAAAAAAAAAGATAAGTTTAGTCCCGCTCGGAAAAATTCCAGAGTTGTCCGAGGGATTTTTGATTTAGAGCTGCCACGGGCTCGCGAAAATTGAACCTTGATTTAGGGCCACGGGTCCCCACTGTCGACGCTGGAGTCTGCTGTTGCTGCTTTTTCTCCTCGCTGGCAAACACAATTTTATCCAGTTCGAAGGGACCCGACGCGGGAATCGATTCAGCTCTGGGGACACGCGACTAGACTTGTTTTGAATTGAAAATCAAAGGTTTGGGGTTGAGGGAACTAGCTGGAGCTGCTGTTTTTGAGAGCCATCCCTGCTGTCGTACGAAATTGATGGATTGTCTTTGCAAGGAAAAATATTGAAGTCGTGTGGCACGTTTACTGCACATTTTGTGGTGTAGTCTAACATAAGCACCATTTTGAAACGAATGCTCGTCAAAGTCTATGTTTGGACAAAGTTTGCCAATGAGACTTTCCCCCATTTTGATCCCATAGTGCTCCTACTGCAGGCGAAATGTGAAAAAGTTTGACAAAATTAAGAAATTTCAGACGGGATAGGTTTTGTGTAGGAAAAAAATAAACAGTTTCGTCCGGAGGCCGCCAATCGTCCAACTGAAGGATTTCTCCAACTGGGGTACATCCAAAGTGGGGGTCGTCAGAGGTATTTCGCGATTTGCATAACCATTCGCAGAGTTGTTTGTCCACTCGAAAACAAAACAGCCAGCCAGTCGGGCATCAAGCAGTACCTATACATGGCTCAAGGGATAGAGGCAATAAGGTAATGGGCACAAGAAGAAATTTTCATTCCATTGCGAGCCACGACGTCTTGTGGGAAGTTTGTCACGCAGAGCTCCACGTTGTTCTCGGACATGGACCAATTTCTCACGCTCTATTCGTCCAATATTTTCCACACCTCCCGGAGTTATGCATTCAGCTGTGAGAGTTTGCTGATTTCCTTACTACAGGAGTGTAAAGAATATTAAAGTAACAGGACGAAGGGATGAAAGAATATAAAACTGCTTGATACGTGATACCTAAAGAGCAATAGCCAGCGAGGTTAATTCGATTTGTAATGAGGAGAAAAGAGCCGATTGGTTGGGGGTATTTCGCGGAGTTGGTGGCACGAGATGGGGTAAAAAAAAAAGGGGGTGAAAAAGATATCCAACAGCAGTTACGGAAGGGAGGGATCTGTTTCTGCTACTCTCCCGGCGACATCTTTAATTCATTGAATGCGGATTGCGGACTGAATCCCTGATGAAGCCCATCCCCGCGTTTTCGCTCTCGAACTATTGGAACCCGGCGATGAGAAAAGAAGACGATGGAGAACTAAGGGAGGATAGAGAGGGAGAGAACGATGTGTATTCCCAAGCGATATAACACCCACTCCTCCTCTTTAAACTTTTCCCTTTCTCACGACGCTTTTCAATATACCCGCCCTTCTTCTCGTCTTCCCGGCAGCCCCGATTTTTCACTTCGCGGATGAGACCTCCCTCGCCCCACGCCTCATGGCCGATTTGTCATACTCCCACGTGCGAATCACTTGAGCGGCCTTCCCAAGATCTCAATCGACGCGCGCGCCATTCTCACTCTCTTTAATCCTTTTTCTCCATCCTCCTGACCGCACCCCTAAAAATCTCGGCCAATCCTATTTCGCCTTCCTCGCGGGAAATTGAGCGAAAAACAAGTCGGTTGGGATCTCTCTCCCTCCTTCTTTTTTTTACTCCCTCGCGATCTCTCGTGGACTTTTCTTTTTTCAATTTGTCCGCGCGCCAGTCTGAGATATCGATGTGATGTCCTTCCGCCTCGACTGTTAGCTAATTCAATGAGAGAGCAATTTTGTCTCTTCCTCTTCGGGTGCAATTAAATTGTAATTTCCTGCTGCGATTCGCGAGAGTGAAGGTATCAAAGTGGAGCGTCAAACTATGGCATTGCTTCTTCTTCTTGTACTGATGTTATCTGGCATAACTGAACTGTTCAGCTTTAATAGATCGCGAGCTCAATCTGACCAAAAGAAAACAAAAATAGTTGTCGAGTCTAAACATCGCATGTACTCGCATTAAATTGGTGTTTGGAAAATGGTTACAATACCATTAGGAAGGTGCCACGTGGATGTAGCGACGAAAAATGAATTTCAGAGGTTTAAGGATGAGTGGGGACATTGCATGTGTCAAAGAGTCATGTCCACCGCGATCGGACGACGCGACGGTCAGTCCAAATAAACGATGCAACAGATGCCGATTGTATCGCCATTGGTCCACGTATACGTTTGTACAGTCATATTTAGACTCAATAGCGCAGCTGATGGGGAAAGTTTCGACTGTCTAGACGACTGAATGTCAATGTGCTATTTCTAGACTCACGTGCGAGCCTTGAAATTCACGAGCACGGGCTGTAACGCACGCGTCTTCTCTCGTCTTGAAGATAATTTCTCGATTCGTTTCATTGAAAGTGAGAGCAGGTATATACAATCTGCATTGCAGAGCTCGTTGTTAGCTCAATGATTGGCGAGCTAGCCTCGGAAACAATACAGCTGAAGGGGTCGTAAGTTTGATTTCTGGTCAAGGCACTAGGATCCCTCTTTTTTTCTGAGGATTCTTGCCGAGAACTGAATCCTCCACACCAACTGTATAGAATAAGATTTACTTTCAAGAATAGTTTACATAATTAACATAACCGTTGGTACTCCTATGTGGGGATAACACGTGCTTGTTTCACTGCATATTCCGCTCGATTTCAACACACTTTATTTTAAAAACGCATCGTCACCTTGACTTCCAATGTCGTTGTTGAGAGAGACAGAGGGACATAGACGAAGATATCTGAGCACGCACCGACGGCGATCGACATTTCACGGTCTCATCGATCGATTGTTCGAATAATTTAATACCCGTGCAGTCAAATCTCCTCAGTAGCAGAGGATCCGTACAAGTGCAACTCGATATTCCGAGTGATTCCGTGTCTTGGGATAGGTAGAAGTGAGCGTTTGTGTGCCTACACTTCATGGCAAACGAGTAATTTTCAAGACTTTCGACGTTTGTTGCATCGACTACTTGATGGTTTTCATTCATCTCGTTTCAGATTTTTCAATGATGTTTCCTTTCTAAAAATAATAACTCAATTTATATCAAACATCGGTTCAAAAAAGAAAACCCACCAAAGCTCCTGTAGCGAATCATACCTACTTTTCTAAAGTATAGGGTGGGGGGTGGGTAATGAAGTTCTTTTGTTACAATCATTGATCTGGTAAAGCCAACCGTCCACAACATCAAGTTAAGTTAACATCAGTACAACGTACGAAGAAGTGGGAAAGAGAGAGAGAAGGGCAAAAGCTCAGCACACCTTCAATGCCAGCGTGCATCAACGGTGATCCAAACATAGGTCACGTATAATTAGAGTCTCAGCCTCGCGTGTGCCAAACTTGATGTTGAAAAATTCGAGGTCCCCACAACACTCGTGCTAACTGTAACGACAGTCGAATTGCGAAGAGGTGGCGAGCAAGAGCACTAAAGCGAGAGACAGTAATAGGCGAGAAGCGCCTCCGTTTAAGGAGCTGAAACGTAAAGGTCAAAGACCTCCTTCTCCTCGCTCTCTCCACGAATTCCTTATTTACTTTGCTTTTAGCTTGTTATCGTTAGCTCGCTAACGCAAATTCTAGCTTGTGCATGGTCCTCGTACAAATACATTGAGAATATTCTCCTGTTTTGCGGGTCTCCCTGTCTCATTCGAGGTGTAATTTATTCGTCTGTATTGGCGATTCGTGGGCGTTTTTAGAGAGCACTGTGGGTTAAAGACTCGTTGCTAAGACATTTGACGTGTTGCATTAGTGATTATGCAAAAAAAAAAAAAAATCAAGAACAGATGAGGGTACCACCCACTATATAATTATTGTTTTCGACTCGATACAATTGTTTAAACATGAATATTTAAGGACGAACTTTTATTGGAAACGAAAATAACGTGATGTTATTAAAACACACTAACAAGCTTACTTGGGGTTCTACTGATTATTAATATAGCAACGTCAGGTTTGTCTAGTATCATTGAATTTGATACCACACATTTTATAGTTAATTAAATTTCATACAAGTCGTTATTAGTCCTTACTATAGTCTGTGTGGAAATTTTTGGCTGTTAATACAGTTTATACAATCCAAGTTTTTTGTTTTTTTTTCCAAGACAAGAAAATATGCTGCTCAAATGTGGAGTACTCTTAAGTGCGCTCTGCACCCTGACCTAGGCCCACTACCGCGAATTCGATGCCCAAGTTAACGACCTTTTAAAATGGAAGGGTAGGTTAAACTACACCTGGCCCTCCTACGAAGTGTACAAACAAGCAATCAAGGATAAATCTTTTGTGCAAGGGATCAACGCATTGGAGCACATGCAGTTCTGGAAGGAAAACATATGTTTCATTACGAACACGGTGTGCCAGTGACACTGGCCGTAATTTCAGCCCCGCCGGAGAATGGCAGCAGATTGCCGTTACTGAAGCCATATCCTAACTGGGATATGCAGAAAAATTCTGACAACTGCTCCACTTTCCAACGAGTTTTGGATTTCAAAATCGGTCCAAACGGTAGGATGTGGATACTGGACAGTGGTACTGAAATGTTTAGTAAGACGATCAATAAAGATCAGTGCCTTCCCCGTTTGGTGATCTTAGATCTCGAGGATGGTGGTAAGATCCTCACGAACTATATCGTCCCGTCAACCGTGATCGATGTAAATTTTATTAGACACTCACTCACCAACCTTATGCTGGACCACGACGATGGCGACTTTGCCTACTTTACGGATAACCTAAATATGGCCATGGTAGTCTTTTCGCCCAAAAATTTTACTTCATGAAAATTTAATAATGTTAATTTTATTAACAGCCTGGCACTGTCACCGGTGAACAGCAAAGGAGATCGGGTTTTATACTACGTGGCACTGTTCTCCGATAAAGTATCAGAGATTTCCACTGACGTACTAAAAAGTCAAAGCTTGAGCCCAAAAATCAGTCAGTGGGTCAGAGAGCTTGATATAAAAATATTTAGTATACAGGCCGAGATACTTGTCTCCAATACCGGCATTATGTACATCAAGTCGGACCCTATCTCTTGGGAACCAATGTTAAATATACCTCCTTTATTCTATGAAACTAGTCCAAATATCATACAAATTAAGAGGTTGAAGGTACGAAATAATCGTCTGATCTTTGACCAGGAAGGTAACCTTTGCTTCATCAATCGCTTCAGCTCGAAAATTCAAACCATCAAACTAAAGCTAGAAGAATCGAGCGAGTATTACTGGGATTAAAAAACGATAAAGCGCCAGAGTTGCCTGAAATTTTTTATGATATCATGTATACTCTATAATTTATAATTTGGACGAAATTTTAAAAATTATCTATTGTTTAAATGGACAATGTTTTAATATTATTGGAAATACTTTTTTTATTTTTTTATTTTTCCAATTCTGTAGTAAAAAAAAATTAATTTTTTGCAAAAGAAAAAAATAACGGTTAATTATTTTTATTTGACTTTAATTGTGGTCAGTATTTGACGCTGATATTGAATATACACGTACGCCACCTCAAGCTTGACGTCATTGTGATTTTTACAAAGAAAAACATTATCAGGTCTATGAGTTGCCTGAACTGTTGATACAATAAGAGGTATCAGGTCCAAGATATCGTTCATGAAACATTAATATTGTTTTGTGAGGCACAAGAAAACTAACTATGAAAACATAACTCATTGGTTTCGCTTTGCTATAAAAATTCAGTCTCATTAGAATAAATAAATAGCAACAAAAATTGTAAATCAATGTAGGAAAAAAAAAGACAACATACATGTACTTCATAATAAGCAAAAGGGAAACAACACACACACACCTTCATGAAAATCTGTTTCGAATTTCAACGTCACATCAGTGGCGTGAGTCACGAAACAGGTGACATTTATTTTTCAAGTAAGAAATACTGCAACATTAATTTTTATTAATCGGAAAAAACGAGCTTCGTGCAACTCACAAGGACTCAAAATTACTACCCGAATTCCTTGAAAAAATGTAAATCACGGCCTTACATTTTACGAGTATATTCCATTTGGAAAATCCACGGCGGACAGTTGGAAACGATTCATCCGGTGATTCTTGTCAGCGCTGGCTTTTTATCCCCAGTTTTTGTAATTACAAAAGGGGGTAGCCCAGAATATACTCGTATTGGAGTGTAGTTCTAAATCAACCCTCGGCCAAGACCAGGATTGGGTCAAATTCTGGCCGACATTTAATTCATACCCCAACCGCCACCCATCAGCTGAATACACACCGCGAAATCGTCCTCCGAGTCTTTTATTACTCGAGAAAAATAAAAGGGAGGGAAAGAATGAACAAATCAGTGTCGCGAGGGCGCGCGCTCGGGAAATAATAAATGCCAGAGAGGGAGCCTCGTGCCAGATAAGCTTCTTTAAATTACGAAACTGAAGGCCATCAGCGCCCGGGTTTTTGTATCCTTCTCCTGCAGCTTCTTCCGAAAGCCTTTATCACTTTGATTCATAGTATCGTTAGCGGACAAAGTTACATCATGTGCTAAGCGCGTACGTCATGCGGAGCGCCTCTCCCTCTCTCTTGTATTTACGACAATAGGCAAAATTTACGCGGCGATAGTGCGTTCAGCGAGGACTGTACGTATACGGGGAAGGGAAGGCGAGACAGCGGAAAAAGCGCTCGCGGAGGGAGAACAAAAAATCCCGCGCAGGATGACAAATATTTCTCTTTCGTTCCGCGCGACGATGTCGAGATAAACGTTTACGGGGTGAATTTTCTTACTTTGTTTCGGCAATGAATTTAAGGTGGCTTGGCGGTAAAACGGGGGCTCGTTCTGGGAACAAAAAAATTTTTAAAATAACCAAGATTAAACGAGAAGGAGTACGTATATGTTTCACGTGCTGGAAAAAGAAAATTATCTTTTGATGTATTCACTATTATGCACAATTGGGAGACGTCGATTGCATTGTTTTACTTCTCGAATGATTTTAATTGTTCATCAACAATATATACATCATTTATTATCAAATAGTTCCAAATACATCACACCTTTACGAGAGGAATACACCATGCGGCAGAGGTGGTAAAGCAAGAAAAATAAATTCAAAATTTTCCCGTAGTGTATACCTGCATCATCCACAGTCAGGTGTAGCATCCTATGAAATTTACGAAACCTGAATATCAAATGGGCAATCAAATGTAGAGCCTCAAAAAAATCACGGGCAAATTGTTCGAGGTGCAACATTGCAGAGAAAAGAAGCAGCCCAAAGCACATAACCACGGGATTATATGAGCCCATTAACATATCATCAAATGTATCATTATTAATCCGACTCGACGTAAATATTCAAAGTCCGTGTCCACCGTAGGTATGCCTGATTTCCACCCTATTTGTGCAACCCCGAGTTCGAGGTACACAGCGTAACTGCGCAACCGCTAGACCCGATAAAAAGCAGAGATAAGAAAAGTAATTTGCTCGAAAGCAGCGGCATACTGGAAAAAAGAGCAAACGAAACGTACGAAGAAGAAGAAGAAGAAGAGCCAGGGGTACAACAGCAGCACTCGCGGCGCGTAGCCCAGGTATATATACACGTATACGTAGGTAAATAAGGAGCGAGGCGAGTAAATTTTTCTCGGATAATCGGCCGATCCGAGCTGATGCATGTCCCGATTAAAAAAACCCACGGAAGCACGGGACACGCGAACACTCGCTGCTCCTCTTTGCACAGTCAAGGTGGTGTTTTATTCAGATGCACAGTGCTACCCTATATTACGGGGATAATGGTGGTAACCATCAGTTTATCACGCCTACTGCAGGCATGTAACAAACGAGGGTTGGTAGAAAAATAAAAAATTGTTATTTTTTTTTTCTTTCCCCAACATGCCAAGCTACATACATCACTCGTCACTTCAAGTTCAGCGAAAATGTCGCGCCTCGCAAAAAACTATGGACCCACCAAGCAAACCTTTACACACGAGATTTGACGACATTTTCGCGTCTGGCAAAAAGTTTGCCTGAAAATCAGTCCCTCGGTTTTTCCTTCCCTCGGGCTCGCTTCAGAGAAGAAGAGAGACACTTTAAACACGGCAGCGCCGCACGGTGAGTTACAAATGCGTGTCATACATCATTCCACGGCGAGCGCTCCGTTTCTTCTCCCCCTCTGTCGTCCGACGGGCTCCGCATGATGTTTCAGAGCGACGTTTATCCGCACGTAGATTCTGCGCAACACGTGGACCCCCCGAGCAAGCTCGCCCGGCACAAAGACGTATACGTCAGGTACAGGTCGAGGGGACGGGGAATCATACGTATAGCCTCGACGGCACACTCGCAGCGGCCTAGTCTAAATAAGGGCTGGCTCGCGAGCTGGCCTCTCAACGCAAGCGGGCGATGACCAATGCGTTTGGTCAACTTGATACTCGAGAGAATACTTACACGTGGTATATTGAATGGGCTTTGAGGGTGGCATGAGCTGTCATTCGTGTCATTTGGACTCGATTTCATCGCGATAAGGGATGTGATGAATAGCTGGTAGCATGGTCTTTGTCACTTTTTTTTTTTTTTTTTTTTCATACAACCCTAGAGAGACGTACATCACGTTTTGGGGACCCAACGACTGAAGATACCGTAGTTAACTAAAATTAGAATTTTTGCGGGCCTCGTGATTTTTTTTTTTTTTTTAACAACAGTATGCATAAATGTAAGAGTTTCAACCCCCCTTTAACTATACAAAGAAGAAAAAATGCTCTCGAGGAGCCACAAGAAAGGAGAACAAAAAAAAAGGGGGGGGGGAAACATATTCTGGGGAAAAATGAAGCGAGTAACGGCAACGAAGCACGCGAGATCCGGCTATTTTCAGTGTTCCCCATCGGTTTATCGGTTCACAGCTGCGGCAGTAGCACCCACGCGCGTTAGAGACAGCTCCTTTGGAAACGCGGTTTCTAGCTACTTCTATCGGCCATTTGGCAAGAAAACACGGAGATTGTGTTAACATGACGAGAGCAAAACTAAGTTGGCTAGTCGTCCCGAATGAGAATGGTGGTAATAGTAGTAGTAGCATTAGTGGATGACCAGACGACAAGGGACAGAGTGACTTTTGCAAGTGAATGAGAAAAAGAGCAAGAGGGGAACGAGGTGGACAAGAAAGTGGAGGAGAAAGAAGGGGCCACCCCGGTGTCGTTCTCTTCTATACCCATACCCTCTCTCTCTCTCTCTCTCTGCACACGAGTCTCGAGAATGCACGCGAGCAACTCTCGGTCTTTCCGCTCTCTCCCTCGCTCTCTTCGACTCTCGACGACAGGGACAACGATACATAAATTGAAAGTGCGCGCAAGCCCCCTCCACTTCTCGCATCGTGTTATTCACTGCCACGGGCGACCAAGAAACGCTAAATTCGTCGAATAACTTTCCGAGGGCCTGCTCCACCTCCTCCTTCTCATCTTCCACTCCCGGTACTCCTGCTTCTTCCACATCGCTCGTCGTCTTCGTCCCTTTTCCATGCAAGCCGACGACTACACGACAGAAAGGCTTTTGTTCCCGTGAGATAGTCTTTCTCTCTTCGTAAAGCAAAAGCCGAAGGAGAAAGGGATGAGAGTCAAGAGCCAGCGAGAGAGTATGTACCGGGCCTCGAGGACGATTCCTCGGCGACGACGTATTTAAAGACTTGGAGCGCGACTCGTTTCCCCGTGAAAGCTCTTCCGAGGGAAGGAAAAACTTGACTTACCTTACATCGCCCAGCCGGTCAAAAAATGTCCCGCTCGACGCGCGCAACTCACATCCGATATTTCGGCTTGTCCTGGACTGGGTTACTCTCACCGGGATTACCTCGCTCTTTCTCACTTGGCCCCATTTCGTTACTACCACTACTCTACTCGAGCAAAGCAATGGTGTCTGATGCATCTTTAAATAAAATCAATTTTTTTTTTTTTTTTCATTTCAATGTCCGTCCCTCGATATAGATCGTTTTAGGGTATGAGTGATTCCGCGTCAATCGGCGCACCCTCGACAGAACTATCATTATCCGTCCTATGTCGGACGTTTTGAAATTTTAATCACGCCTGAAAGCTTTTCCAGATACCCGAGGCTATAAAAAAAAAAGCCAAGGCAACACCAAAGAGAGGCTCGACCTTTCGTGGTCTCGTGGTTTTTCGAAAAACCGCCACAAAGCTTTTCTCGATCGAGCGTTTTTTTGTTCCGCCACCCGCTGCTAAGCTCGTCGTCGCCGCAAGTTCCAAAGCCGTGGTTTCGGAATAATGCAACAATCGTGTATCGC